TCTACAAATCAGACGGGGGAATGCATGGGAGAAACTCCAGAATTAAAGAAGCCTTTGCACCATGTGCTTCCAGTGTAAATTGTGGAGATTCCTACAAATGACCAATGAGTTCATGTGCCTGACTTGAGACACTTTTCAGGGGTCTCATTGACCCTTGAAAAGTTAGGCCGCTAGATGATGTGTCAAAGCAGGAATCACAAATTACTAAACCTTTTGAAATCTTATCTTAATATTCAGATTTAGCAGTGAACTGAAATCAGTAGGGTGGAAGGGCACTCACAAGGTCACTTAGTCCAAACTTGTACCTTCTGATGTGAAAGCAGGGGCACAACAAGTGTGGCTAGTAAAATACATTTCTTTTTGAAAAATTTCCAAGGCAAACTGTTTTTTTTTTTAATTGTTAGAGTTCTAAATGTGACACTTAAAAAGTACACTGCAAGTGTCTAATGAATTTAGCATCTAGAATCTTTAAAGAGTATGCTACCAGTAATTCCAATTCTTTCAGAGGCCAATGCTACACAGGCTTCAAGTACCATTTGTATCACGGTTTCTAGATTTAGAACCTGTCTAGCCATGAACTGGCTGTGGTTGTTTTAACTGAACACCAGGGATCAAGGGATTAAATGAAAGCAATTCTCTTGTGATGCTAAAAGTGCTAAAATACTCCGCCAGGTTTAGCAATATCAGCAAAGTTAACAGGCTTTATAGTAGCTTTGACAATGAATTATATTCAGAGTACCAGTAAAACTATTTTCCTAACAACTAAGATTCTGAATTAAAGGATTTTCACAGGCTCCCCTTGGAATGGTAATAATCTGAATTCTTCTATTATCATGGTCAGTGCACCTGAACAAATTAATTTTAAAGTTGCAGGAAAGAGCATCAGTCACACATGCTAAATAGTTAGCTTGTACCAAAACTAGCATGCAAGTCTACAGATCCAGTCTATAGCAATTACCTAGGCAAGTCACTTATTTGAGTTGCATTTTAATCATGTGAATAACAGATATTAAAAATAAATTTACAAAAATTAAAGACTAAGGGCCAAATGCAAATCATTCTAGTAGGCACCTCCACTTAGGTGTTACTATACCTATAAATGGGTTGCCTCACCCATGAGTGAGATTCATATTAAGGTTTGTGCATCCATGATCCTTACAGTTGTCAACAGAAAAATCTAGATGTCCTCAAAGGGCTACCAAGATGGCCTATGCTAAGTATAGCACCACCTGGAGCATACCACTATTAACTGGCTGTCTGAACTCGTTTTTCCTTGACGATGACATACCTCTTATAAAAAACTGTAACTTAGGTCAATTCTGCCTTGAGCTTTTTAAATGTCTATATTTAGCCTAAGTGTCTGAGTCACAGCAACATATTAAGAATTTCCAATGCTTTGGAAATACCCAGAAAGGAGATGCCTAACGCAGCATTCAGTTCAGTACAATGCACAGTTTACAGTGACTTTCACTCTCAAAAATGGCCAAGAGTACTGGTGCCCAGTCTTTTATGCAAAGGACTAGTGGTTATAGAACTCAGCCCAAAAGTGGAAGACCAGAATTCTAGGACTTCTTCAGTCCTAGAATTGTAGTCTGGGTAGGGCACCCTCCATCCTTTTGTTGAAGTTGAGCCACTAGGAAGCTGAGAATGCAAGACGGAGACAGAAGGACAACAAGCAAAAGGAAGCCTGATTCTCCAAACCAGCGATATAGGCACTCCCTGGGAGGACTGAATCCTGGGCTCTGGTTCTTGCTTCCAGGTCTGTTTCTAGTTTGTTTGGGCTTTTTTAAAACCTAATGTACTCTCTAAACTAAAATACAGAGCTAGTCCTGGAAGCAGAAACCGAATTTCATCAGGATTCTGAAAAAAACCTGTTGAATAAATTTTGTGGTTTTAGAATTAACATTGTTCTAACAGAAGCTATTTTCAAAATATTTTGTGATCACTGCCACTCCCAGGTTTCCCTATCATGTCTTAATCCCCTGTTAGTGCACCTACAGAACTTGGTGTTTTTCTGTAAGTTTTTCATGAACAAATGATACATTTGGCTTGTGCCATCTCCTCTTTTGAATATAAGAAATCATTTTACTTGAAACCAGAAAACAAATCAGGCTTTCCATCCCATGGCTCTCTTCTAGTCAATAAGAGAGGTTTAATCACAGATTTGACAAAGGAATTTTTGTGGGCGTTCCTTGTTAAATGACTGGCAGCAAAACATTGACCTGAACCCTGGTGTGTGGGTGGACAGGAGCATTTAAATGAATTCCTAAGCATTTGCAAATGGTTGACAAATGTAAATTTCATTTTTTCTCAGAAACAGGTTCAGAAAAAACAAACCCTCCAAAACTCAATGGCTGTGACTGGAGGTGCTATTTAACCTGCAAGCTCCCCCAGGTGTATAGAAGAGTGAGAGAGAGAGCTCCTAGACATGTCCCTGCCTTTTGCCTCTACACCATCATTCAGTATAGTCCAAATTGGTTAAAGGCTGGAACATGATGCAAAAACTCCCCTACTTACTCAACTTTTAGGGTGAGAGATCACAATAAGAACTGCTGATTATAGCTGAGGCTTTCATTTAATCTCTGGTTAATTGCTTTATGGTTTGGGGCTCAGGAGCAGCTGCTGGTTAATTTTTATCTGTCTGTATGCTTATCTTATGGCAAATGTGTCTGGATCCTAGGATACAAACTTTAAAAAAATGTGTGCATTATAAACTGAAATAAAGAAGCATGAAGTATTCATGTTCTTATCATTCCTCATACAAGAGCACAGCCAAAGAGCTGTGCCTTGGGAGGGATCAAAGCTCCTTGGAGGATACATTCAATACACAGAAAATAAAGCAGTAACAAACTTCCAATATAAATTATTTATTATATGGCTGCCCCAATCATTTCATACCAAGCAAACATGCCTACTGGAAGTTATCGTCTATATTCAGTGGGAATGTACCATTTTAAATTCAGATTGTCACTAGGTAGGGTAGATGGAATTACATTCATAACAACTCCATTTCTGAAAGAGCAACAGCTTTCTCTTTCATAGCAAGAATTTTCTTCTTTTTGCTTGGAAAATATTCTGGCTGGAATATACCAACATAATGTTTTAAAAGTGAAAAGTGAAATTAATTAGAATCCTGTCCAAGAGCAAGAAAGGATACATCAAGAGCAAGTGAGCTAGCAAACAATGTATGCAGCAGCTTTTCTTGCGCACATGAATGCTCAAAGCAGGTGACCAGATCTCCTTTGACTTCTGACTGACCTCTAATATCATAGGTTATTTAATTTACTAGCAGTTGAGACCATGACCCATTTATGGATATGTGGAGTCACTAAACACTATGACACTCTTGTTAGATAATGATGGATTTTCTCCCTACAAAATCAAATCTTCCCATACTGTATGATCATGATAGAAGTTCCTATACCACTGGTTCTGGGCTTGAGGGGTATGGGCCATGCACAAGTGACAAGAGATATCAGATCGTAACTATCTTATGAAATGCAGGTTAAATATTTAGGCATATATAGGAAATGTAGGGCAGGATTTCCAACAGTACTCTGCTCTCCAAACTCCTAGTGACTTCAAGGAGAGCAGTTAGGTCAATGCTGAGTGCTTTGGAAAATCTCAGTCTTTGTGTTCCACTAACTGTGCACATTCAGCATGTTTTGTTGCTAGCACTGAAGTGTTTTAAAGAATATATAGGAAGAAATATCACAAGCTCATGAATCACTGTTACACATCAAGCATTACCTAGACTAGTCATAGAGACTGCTCCAGTAGAAATATGAAACCATTACATCACAGAGAACTTGATATTCTGCAGCACATCATTCCCAGTTTTGAAAAAGCAAATGAAATAATCAAACTATCTGTCATTTCTAGAGAAATATCAACAACCCGGATTCTGTTATTACACACAGTGCCCCTCCTGCACATACTGACAAAATGCATTCAAGCTACAGTGACACGGAATGAAAGCAAGCAAATTCTTCACCTCTCAAATGGACTAGAACATTTGCAGAATAAAATTTAGATCAGTCAGTGTTTGCATTTGGAAGATTTATTGAAGGCAATATAGTATGGCAACAATAGTCAATCATAAGTGGCAGACTGCCCTTTTATTAGGCATAGTGAGGCCAATCAATCTTAGAGAGCTCTCCCTTTTGCCTCCTGAGGCCATTTACTGTTCGAATCCATTATAAAAAAATCAACACACTGAAATTATTTATTTTAACTTTGAAAGATTATTTACAGGCAGTCAAGATATTCAATAGAAGCAATAATAGCAAATTACATTGTTTGGTAAACCCCCTCACTGTTCTAACTGGTACAATCCCAAACTGTGAATGAAAGTTTTAAAAGAAGATTTCATGGTAGTGCCATCCTGGAAGATGTCAAGAATAGAACAAAAGGGTTGTGAGAAAACATTAAAAGAATGGGAACGTTGAAGCCCATCTTACACTAAGTAAAGAATGGTGTGTTGACCAAAAAGTCCCAAAATGAAAATGAACAGGAATTTGGGTTACTAAACTATTGTCACAGGTTGACAAAGCTGAGGTAGTGAACAATAATCTGGGTTTAATATGTAGATTTCAAATGAGCTGTAGCCTGTTAGAGCTACCAAAATCCATTCAATATGGAAAAGTCAGTAAATAATAATGGTAATTATGAAATTTCAAAACCTATGATAGTCGTTCATGTCCTATGCTACGAGGCCAGTGAGCCACTAGTTAAGATCATAGAATTATAGAGAAGTAGGGCCGGAAGGGACCTCCAAGGCCATCTAATCCAACACCCTCCCTGAGGCAGGATCATCCCTATCCAAACCAAGAGTGTAGCAAGCATGTAAAAAAGTCATTGAGCTCACCTACTTCGTATCCAGGCACTTTCTAGAAGTAGCTGCCTCTTTTAGGATACAAACCTGAAAATTTGTTTTCTGCTTAATTTACACTATCAATTTTATTAGGGTGATTTTATAATTAATTAAATTATATTCTTACCAGTTTCACAGCTGGGTCCAGTGAAGCCCTGTGGACAGGCACACACATTGGAAGCAATGCAGGCTCCTCCATTTCTACAACCATCTTTGCAAAATGCTGAAATAGTAAAAGAATAACTTATGCTTAGAATCAATTAGCTAAGAGCTAGATTATGCTCAGCAACTGTGCAGGTATTCATACCCCTTATGTAGCAGCCAGACACAAATGCAACCCCTGCAACTTTGAGTGCAGACTAGAGGCAGTTCCTCCAAGGGATAAAAGTCACTCCAGAAAAGCAGAGAGAAGGGTAGGCTACTTCACTAGCCAGATATGGGACCAGATCATATTTATTCTCTCATCTGCATTAGGAAAGTCCAAAATGGGTTGTCTCCCTGAGGACAAAACCATTCTTAAGACAGCACTACCTCATTATATAGGCCTATGCCTATCTGACGCAAATGAGTGTCATATTAACAGGCTACTTGACTCTTTGTACTCTGGTGTTAAAGCCAAATGATAAAAAATTTATCATCCCTAAAAGGCTTTAAAACTTTTACCAGTTATGACCTAAAGTCTGCATTGTGCTCAGACTGAAAGCAATTAAGCTGAGCTTCTTCAAGGGCACCATTTTCTAGACTAAGCTATCCACATACACATGCACACTAGAATTTCTCCATCCACCACTGAAATGCCACCAGCTATTATACAAAACATGGCAGCTAATTAACTGCACACATCTCGTCTACAATAGGACATGGACAAAGCTGTATTCCACTGAAACTATGTCTCATTCCTGTTACAAATACTGGAATTCTGTCAGGACACAGGTTATCTAGGGGTTCTCAGAAAGCTACCGGTGATCAAAACCTTGGGTTTGCAGATCTTCTGTAATATGGCTTCGTCATTAAAAGAAGTCTTAAGTCTAGATCGGGACGGAAAAATATGGCCTGCAAGCTGGATCTGGGCCACCAGGCAACTTCATCCTGCCCATGGGTGCCCATGAATTAATTGTACCCTGCCCAGCCTGCATACCTCGCTCCCACCCTCATGCACAGGAGGGCCCCAGCCTGGCCAGCATGCACAGCATCCAGGCAGGGCCACTGCTGCCCCTGCTGCAGCCACTGCTCAGTGTCCCCAGCCTACAGTGGCTCCTCCTCCTGCCTTTGCTGCAATGCTCGCTCTGGGTAGCAGGAAAGGAAGTGGCAGCAGGTGGGGGGGGCGGGGAATATCGTTTGGCAGAAGTATGGAGCTGGTGGGAGCACAGAGCCTCGGGCCCACGCTCAGGGGGATGGCAGGAGCATGGAGGTCAGGTGGGTAGGGTGTGGGTATGAGTGTGTGGAGTGTAAGGGAGGGTGGGGGGTGTGCAGACCCTCTAAATTCTGCCCCCCATGGCACACAGCCCCTCAGCAGCAGGCCCCTAGGGTGTTTATAGCCTGTACAGGTGCTGCCGCCTGGCAGTGTGTGGCTCCAGCCAGTTCTGGGAGCTGCATGGCTGGCCCACCTTTATCATGCCCGGCTCCCTGCAACTCATGTGCAGCTTTCAGCATGTGTAACTTCCCACCACCAGGGGGAAGCCCC